CCTGATGATGACAAAACTTTGTCAAAACGTTGTACATTTGCTGTTATGTTAAACTTATATTAAAGTTTTGCTTCATTATCCATTCAAGCCCTCTCCAACCATTATTAGTCTCAAAGTGGGTTCCTCGTTATCGAAACTAAACATATGCCACCGACAATCTGTTATTGTCTAGTTTATTCGTGTTTTCTTATGCTATACGGAAAATAACGGTTTATAGATAAAGAATATGCGTTATCCGAGTAGGTAGCCCCTTTTGATAAAGAATAAAATGGTAACTATTGCGTATATAATGTATTTAGTTGATATGATTCATTTGATAAGAAAGTTGTTTATTACATAATTTTATCTAGAATGTTTAGGATAAGTAAAATTGATTCTATACATAATTTTATCTAGAATGTTTAGGATAAGTAAAATTGATTCTATACATAAAATTGTAAACGTATTTAGCAAACTATGGGCTGGTTAAATTTAAGTTTGTCTGAATAAACATATAATACTCAGATTCTTTCAATTTTTTACAAAACGTAACAGAACATGTTTCCCAGAGTACATCGCTGAGTCAGCACGCTCTCTGACCTTTTGAGACGACGCGCTGTAAGATTGATCAAAGAACAGTTTTATTAACATATTAAGAAATCGTTAAAACGTCTGTTCTTATATAACGCCAAATAGATCCGTGAATCCTTAAGGTGATTTGTGCCTGAGTCCAGTGTTATAAACGTATCGTATAAATTTATTAAAAACAGGTTTCTAAATGTTTAGATTTAGTCACTTACCCACTTATTAACGAACTTCTTTCTTCACAGCAGTTATACACAATTTACTGTAAACAAATGTCTTCGAATATAAAATCAAAACAACAACACTTTTAACTTGTATAAAAACACGTGTATTATTGAGTTTGTCTTTGTAGTTGATCTAAGAAACATCAACAACTGTAACAACTAAGTATATGTTAATAAATCTCTCTTCTTCTTTTTTTTTTTTGCTTAAGTTAAACGACAAAACTTGTAATTGTCACAGCTAAAAACAGATACGCGAACACGACTTTGCCCTTGATTTTAACTATAATATTTTTAATAAGCATGTGGTAATTTAAAATTCTCAATGTAAGAAAAACTGAAGTATTCAGCCTGTCAGGAAGTTCAATATGTATCATACAACAATGTATTTAATTGCCGCCTTACAAACTCATAAACGATAACTTTGTTTGTTTTAGAACTTTCGCTTAAGAAACTAGAATGTTCCAGAGCTGTATGTCAGACTTATCCAGAATATGCATGAAGGAGCGGAAACATTTGTAAGAAGTGTGGAAGGAGACTCAGAGAGATTTCCAGTGAAAGTGGGAATCCATCAAGGATAGCAATGAGCCTTTTCCTTTACTTTATGGTACTTGACACAATACATAGAGACATACAAAGACAAATGCTATGGTGTCTGTTATTTACACATTATGACAAAAAGGTTAGAGAGAAACGACAGTTAGACTCAACATTTATAAAAGAACTTTTTATTGTAACCAACGTTTCGCCTTTGCTGCTTAATCAGGTTAGTACATATAAAACTGCCTGTAATGTTCTATTTCTCGAGTCTGCCGTAAGATGTGGCAAACAATGTATAGATTATTATTATTATTTCACCATTGTTTCAATAGTATAGCATACTTATAATACTAACCATACAGCTATATTAACATATGACATATATTACTTATACGAAATATTAAAATCAAGAGAACCACAATATGTTTTATTATTAGCTAAAAAAAAACACAGAGACAGAAAATAGAAGCTGTTAACAAATAAAAAGTTAAAGTTGAAAAGGTACAACGTTTACTAAGAGTGTTAAAAACAAATTGTAAGACTGTGTGATATTCCAGAGTACGCAAGTGTTGAACTGATAGTAATAGTGTCAAGTGTATTGGTATAATGTGTTGTTTTTTAATGGTGCTTTGGTTACATTTTTATATTGATTTTATATCTTTTTGCTTGATGAGTATAGTTTCCACATATTTTCTCTCTTTGAAGTCTTTCTTTGTATGATAGAAACTTTAGATGGGTTTGGATTTTTTGGGGTTCCGTGTTTGTATAGGAAGTGGTCTTCTGGAGCGGTTTTGTGTTGGTCATACGTACATAATGCACTGATGTGTGAAAAGGTCTCCACATATATTACAAATGATTTGATAGATTACTAGCATTGTTTTTTGGCACATTTTGTTTGTCAGATCTTTCAGTGTCTTCCCAGGTTTTTGCGGTATTTTTATTATCAGTTGGGGTTGTTTTAGTTGAGGTCTTATAACGTTAAAAATTGAGTTTAGATACATACAGTGGGCACAGCACAGATAGCCCATTGTGTAGCTTTGTGCCTAACAAGAAAGAAATATTAAAATATCATAATCGAAACCTTTTCTTTCTCTCACACACATGTATATATATATATATATAAAATAACAGCTCAAAACAATATTTCGAGGGCAAATAGAAGTTATCTAACTTCTGACAGTTTCAGTAAATGAAGAAGAAAGTCTCGTGCTTCGAGAACCAACGTTCCAAGTGATTTGTTCTAACAATTGTCTTTATAATAAAAATCATTTCTGATTTGAATTTAGTCATAGAGCTAACTTGCTGATGAATAAATTACATATTTTAAAATTATATTTACATCTTACTACTTTTTTATTCCATTGCATCACAAATGGATCATAGAAAAACTAAAATTGTACACCCATGTGTCACGTGTGAGGGAATACAACATGTTATATAAATCTATTTGTAAAATACTTGAAAGATTATTTATATAAATTATGAAATATTATACTTTCCCTTTTCACCAAAAAATAAGAAACTTTATTTGATTTGTACCTTAGGGTAGACGAGGACAACTAAAACACAGGTACGAGTTTTTGAGCAGTTGTATGTTTCTATAATTGTTGATAAAACTAATTTATTTTTAGTTTACGGCTACGTACTGTATAGATTTGCAAAAATATTTAGCAAAAGCCACTTAATCCACTGAAAGCAACATATAATGCATGTTTTTTTTCGAAGTGTTTGAGAACAAAAGAAAATATTGATTTTTTAATAAATGGTCAAGGACAATGTTATTTAATATTTTTATATTTCATTGCAACTTTCTGTTTACACTAAAATTTAATGCTGTTTATAAACAAGAAAAAAACATCGTTGGTATTATGAGTTGAAGATTGGTGTTGTTTTCTCAGTGCAGAACTATACAGTGGGTTATGCGCACTCTGTTTACAACGGGTAATTGAACCTCGGATTTTAACGCTAGAATCCGGGTTTCGTTACCCGTGGTGGGCAGAGCACAAATAGCCCAGTGTGTAGTATTATGCTTAATTACAAACAAACAAACAATAAAGTTACCGCTGGCTCACCAGGGGACAAGCGAAGGATATGAAACTCACACCACTTGTTACAATGAAGTGTACTACAACCCTTATGTTAAAAGTAACTGCCTGTTTATTATCCATTATCAGTAAAATAAATTTTCACGTAACAAATCGAAATTCAGTTTTGTGTTTTGCTCTACCGCTCAAGCTTGACTCCTTTGTAGAATGTCTTCAATCTACGTTATTTTTTAAATGTCAAGAAATGAACAATTTACTAAAAAAAAAAAAAGGAAAGATAAAATTCAATAAAAATTCTGTCTACTTAAGTTGCTGAAAAAAACAACGAAATGGTTAATTTATACTTTATCCACTATAAATGGAAATTTAAAGCAACAAACTCAGGTCTTATACCACACCGTTATGTTAAGCAAACTATAGTGTAATATAAAAACCTGTTGATAGTTATTATCTCAGGAGAATATTGTAACTATATATTCCTAAGTTCTTTACGTTTAGTCTTCCATTGTGTACTAGAATCCCCGTTGCGATAGATTGAACATAGTTCATTACGTAGAGTTGCGCTAAAACAAAACAATCAATCTTTATCAAAAAAAATCCGTTGAAAAATGTAAAGAACAGCAACAGCAAAAAAACATTGCATTACTTACCTGTAATTCCTGGTCTCGTACTGTATGAATAGCGGCGTGAAGAAGCTATAAAATAATAAGGGGACTTTTCTGACGGACTGGGTTTGATGAGTTCATGACGCGGGAGCATGGAATCACAAGATTCAACAGGAGCTCCTTGTGGAAAAGCACAAGTAGCAAAAATTATAGCACAGAAGGCCAGCAAAATATTTGTTATTTTTCGGTACCACATATTCTACCAGAAAGATAGAAACTAGCTTGAGAGGAAGTCGTATATGAATCGAGGGGGGACCGAGCAACGAGTATCAATGGTACTAGCTTAATAGGATATATAAATTATTTCTGCTAATAACACTGTTGTGTTCGTAAAATCTAGGTGAAAGCAGCTCAAAATCGAGGCCAAGGGCTTGGGTGGTGCATAGGGAAATTCATACCGAAAGAAAGTTGGTCAATATATGATTTATGGTTTACGTCAACAATGCTGGCCCGCTAATCTGACCTTCATCTTTTTTTTTTTTTGTTGTTATATATCTCCTGTTCTCTTTCAAGCTTATAATTAACTTATGCTTCAATGAACACAACTCAGTCTCGGTTACAAAATCGAGAAATTGTTTGAACAAAAACGTGAATGGCTTATTTGTTCTGTATTCATATTCACTGAAATATTCACTTTCGAAACTGAGATTTATTTCATATGTTTTTTTAATAACCACTGGGAAGTATCAATGTATATTAAGCTCTTTATACGCTACTCTCCGATACAAGTTACTATCTGCTTGGCTTCCTGCTATGTGCCTCTCTCTGATACGCGTTACCCTCTACTACACGTTTCTCTCTGCCGCTAGTCTGCTACACGCTATGTTTTTGCTATACGATACTCTCTGCTACTCAGTGCGTTAGAAAACAACCATAGATCAGCGCATAATCAGTCAGGCATACTTCATATCAATGAGACATATAAAGAATGAGCTTTTCTCTAGTGCATTAGCAGCGTATTAGTTGTTAACCTAACTAGTGACACATATAGTGTAATTCCGCCGAATAAAGACAAACTAATTTCACAGGAAACCCAAAGTAATTTTCAACCGAAGTTCGGGCGTCCTCATTAACTCAACTAAAACAACCGTATTGTTAATGGGCTAGAACAAAAAGGTCCTGAAAAAGAGCGCTTATTTGAAGACAGGACCATTTTGTCGGCGGATTTCTTTTGTTAGGTAACATCGTTCCAAAAATATGCTCACTTTTTCAAAAATTTTAACATAATCACGCTATTACAGTGAATGATAATGACCTCTTCTGACCTTTGTTTGTATTTGTTGTAATGCAAGCTACACAATGGGCTATGTGTGTTGTGTCCATCATGGGTATCGCAACCCGGTTTTTGGGGTTATAAGCTTTAAGATTTACCACTGAGCCATTGGAGGATTCTTAATTGAAGCAAATTATTCTAATGGTTTGGGTATATTGTAGAAACACTATCAACATTAACTTCATTAATTGAAGTGAGATAATGCTGTATACAAAGTTGTTTGTTAAAATCCATATGAAGTTATTTCGTTATTTAGTAAAGTACTTACAGTTAAGATTTTACCTTATCAAGACACAGTTTTCTTGTTTATACTTAACTTACAACTTGACTGTTGCATTTAGTTGATTTCAGTTTCGTATAAGCTTTGTGGAACAGCAAAAGTATCTACATGTACACATTCAGTCACCTGCCAATATTTCGGTCAAACATTTCAACATGTTAAGAACAAATTGGACTAAAGCCAAAATTTTAAAAGCGACAAGCTTTACGAGTGAAATTTTTTGTTTTAGTTGGTAATTATTTTGTGCAACATCTTTAGCTGTATACAAATATCGTGAAAGTGTTGCTCTCGTGTCCGTCCAGTGATTGAGTTTGTTGTCCAACAATTTACGAAAAACATTCATTATACGTTTTGCAATGTTTTTAATACTTAAATATGTGCCCTCGATTATAATCAAACTAATATTTATAATTCCTCTTCTACGTTTCTCTCTCTCCTTTTTTCTTTCTTTCTTTTTAACCTATATTCTTCCATTAAGTCGGAAGTTTTTTACATTGTTAAGAAACGAGGTGACATACAGTTACAATTAGCAGATGTAAATAAAAAGAAAACACAATCATTTCAAACATGGTATCATTAAGTGAATAAAACATTTAAGAAGTTCGTAATAACTGAAATGTATTACAAGAAAAGATTGGGCCGAATGTGGCCCAGAGACTAGTGTGCCGGACTAAGGATATTCAGGTCCAATGTTCACGTCCCGTTACAGGAAAAAAAGAGAAAGAAATCGTGCTCTGCACATTGGGGCAATGAGTGCGTTATAAGAATGACGGTCAAATCCTACTATTCAACCAGAGAAGAGTATCACAAGAATTGACGGTTTATGCTGTTGACTAGCTCCCTTCACTCTAGTACATAGGTTTAATATTCAGCACGGATAGTGCAGATAGCCCTGAGTAGCTTTGCACGAATATCTAAACATTAATTAAAGAAAGAAACAAATACTAAACTCAGCTAAAACGCAAGTTTGTATGGTCGTTCTTACATTGATAATAAAAAGCAGTTTCTATAAAAATGTACTTTTAGTAATTACTGTTAACAGCTTTGCAGATCTGGTGATTTTTACGTACTGGCTCAATGGTAAAGTAAAGTAAAGTCAGGTTTTGTGAATATGTGATTGTGCTATATGACTGTTACTCAGCTTATAATAGCGAAGAATTCCTGAAATTTTGTACTTTGATATTAACTGGTAAAGTGTGTTGTTTGTAGAAAAATTGACTGGAGGTGGAAACTGGTTGAAATTAACACTATATCAGTATCAACGGTTTAGAAAATAGTGCTTGAAAGCCATCGTTGTGATGTTACTTCTATCAGTGGTCTCATACATAACAATAGGTACAAAAATACAAGTTCTTAATACACAAGCTGTCCGCGCAGGCGCAGCACGTATTAACCATTTACCGAACACAAGCAACAGTTACTGAAGTTAGTACACACCTAACAACATATAGGTGTGAAGGCTTGTTTACCATTTTATGTATGGTACGAGCGGATACCAGAAGCCTTGTTCTATTTTTCAACGCTGTAATAGAAAGCCTCGTTCGTGTTAAACGTTTAAAGACAGATGTACTCCAATTTATTATAATAACAAATTATCGACTTTTGTGTAACGTTCAAGTAATTCATATCGTAGATTTATTTCCTTACAGTCTTACGACTGTGTTGTTATAATTTATACAGATGAGAGTGGCCATGAATGAACGAACGCCCTCTTATGTTGTGTTTGTTTCACTGAATTTCGCACAAAGCTATCGAGTGCTATCTGCGCTAGCGTAACTGATTTTGACGTGCTAGACTAAAGAAAAGACAGCTAGTTAACATCACCTACCGCCAACTCTTAGTCTACTCTTTGCCAACAAATAATGAAACGGCTGAAAGGGCAAGTATATTCGGTGAAGGGATTCGATCCCGCGAACCACCGATTGCGAATCAAGTGCCTTAACAACCAGGCGCTCCCTTAATTATATTATAAGTTTACTGTATTGCTGTATTGACACTGCATGTAAAAAATTGGCATAGTTTTCTAGAGAAATGTGTCCGGTGGTAAGACTGGGGTGTATAAAACTAAAAATCGGATATCGATATGGCGATAAGCAAAGCACACATAGTCTCATACTGTAATTTTGCGCTTAAAAGCAAACAGATAAACTTATAAAGTAAGTGTACGTATTAAAATTAACACGTAAACAGCATGAGTACACCAATAAATGTGAGTTTTATTCCGCACCTTATCTTTCTACGTCACAATAAACATTTCAAACAGAAGAGATAAAACTTAAGCAAGCGGACAAACGACTATGAACAGATTTATAGGTCATATACACTTACACTGAATACAGACTTAACTGCATTACAGTTTTTGATATACTAAATGCACTTTTAAAAATAAGAAACTACATTTGTATTTTTACATGGAAAGTGTAACACATAACACAAATTACTGCTAATATTTAGTATGGTGTTATGGTATTTTCAAACTTAACGGTACCTTATTCTACATATGCACTAAACAGCTAAGCTAGAGACTCCATGGTTCAGGTACTGCTGTTCTTAATTTGTAACCATTCATCACAGGAAGGGCAAAAGGCCAGCAGAATCATCGCCTAAACAGCCACTCTTAGCCTAGTACCAGTACTTAAACACCCCGATTCGTGTCTCCAAACCAATAATACTAGGACCCGACTAGCCTCGCATTATTCAATCTAACATAAGTTTGCGACCTCCAACCTTAAACGTATTGTTACGTATCTGCTTGTTTGATAATTTCCCGTAAACATTCTTTCCGAGAAACTTCAGTGATACAAGTCCTTTCTTAATTAAATCTAGTTAATTATTTCTCGATACAACTTTATAATATACAGAATTTCCACAGTCACTTTAACTTAAACACACGCTATAATTCACAACGATTCACGCACTTTACTAACGGCACTACCGCTTACTTGACTCAATTATCTGTCTCTATCTCCATCTATCTGCAATTATATCTCCGCTTTATTTGCCAGGCTTACATACAAAAATAGAGGGCGTTTGGCAAACACTAGAGTTGCCAGGAACAGTCATGATCCTTCTAGAAACTCATGACGTGTTACCATCGTCACGTGACTTCCACTGTCGTAACAATATAATACACAAGTTTGATCTTATTTGGATATTAAAACCTCGTTATTAACGATATCTTAAGCTGTGTACAAGGCAGTTACAACGTATATAAAACTTAAGTGAATGACCAAGAGTTTAAAGTTCTACAATTAATTTATTCAATTAAATAAGAATAGGAAATTATATTTGTATATAATTGGGAAATATAATCTTTTGCTGCGTAATATGTTTATGTAGCTCCGGGCAGGAAAGGAGTGGTAAATGTCTTGTCACTCTTATGTCGTGTTATTATATAGTTCACCTTTAACATTTATAGGACAAGGTCACGTTCTCCTCTATAGGTGATTACTTGGTCATATGCGCTAAAATTTGTTGAAGGGCAAAAAATTAAATGTAATCATTTTTATAGACAGAGTAAGTGGGTAGGCATCGATAAGGAATCTAAGCTGGTAAAAAATGAACTAAGATTGATAAGAAAAGACAGGGCCGATAAATAGGTTATAATAAACAACGGTGAAACACCTCTAGAAATACAAACTTTATATTAAGTTTGATACACTACTTAGGAAGAATAACAGTGAAAGACAAAGAGGTTTTTTTTTTATTATTCTTAAGCGAAAGCTTCAAAATAGACTATCTGCACTGTGCCAACCGCAGGAACGCGGAATTTTAGCATTATAAGACCATAAGCTTGCCGCCGAGCCATGGGCAGAATAATTTTAAGAACTTT